ACTCTTTACCGGAGTAGAAAGCCTCATCTTTTTCCTGCAGAGTGACTGGTGGTTTTGAACTGCTGACCTAGCGGATTGGATCTCAGCCCAATGGGTAAGCACTACGCCGCCAACATTCCTCTGTTAAAGGAAGGCTTTGGTGATATGGGCAGGGCCTTAAGCTGAGTGGGGCCCATGAGTGTTGGGCACATTATTTTTGTGTGTTTACGTATCTGAAGTATAATAGCAAAGAGCGGGGAGTGAGAATTTTGTCTTGAGCCCCAGTGGGCACCCCAGGGAAGCTTTGGAGTTGAGGAGGACACAACCGGGCTTGTGTGGCAGCATGCCTTTCGGGCTTGGGTGTCATTTAGGTCGGATGGTGAGGTGGTTAGCTAGGAGGCAGGGAGATTGCTCAGGAGACTGTTGGCAAAAACTGTGAGATACGGTGGACTGGCCAAAGACACGGTGGGGGATGGACAGAGGTCTGGAATCGTGGTTTGGGAGGTAGACTCCCTGGGATGTGGGCATGGGCTGCTTGTGGCTATAAGGAATGAGGAGTGTCCAGGGTGTCTGTGGTCCCTGCCTTGGTGGATGGTGGTGGTAGCAGTGGCAATTGGATGTGGCATTCGAAGCAGCTGCCCACGTGTGTTTTCTGGACCAAGCGAGGTGCTGTGGTTTGCTTCGCTAGGTTGATGGACCAGGTGAGGCAGCGGGAAGTGCACGGAGCTCTGTGGAGCTGGTGCTGTGGTTTCTTAGCACATTCGGTTAGTCACTGGGGAGCTGAAACAGTGGACTGTATTCGGAGCAGAAACAGTGGGCATCCGTTTTAAAGTTGTTTCAGTTAAAAAATAAAAAGCGAAGGGGCAATGCCTTGGATGAAACCTCCGGTCACTCCCCTGTGACCATAGACCGGGGTGTGAACAGCCTTGCTGCCCTGCAGAACGCCCCGGGAAGCTGGTTACTGCAGATGCAGTTAGGCTAAAATTGAACATGTGATCCCCCTTTGGTCCATTTAAAATTTATTCTAGTTTTTAATATTTTCTTCTTTCTATAGAGGTTTTTATCTGTTTTGCTTTGTCATCATCATTAGTTTTTTGTTGCTGTTAATGATTTTAATGATTTTCTGCTCATGAAATCCAGGATAGGTAAATCTATAGTGACAGTAAGTGCACTAATGGTATGGCAGGGAGCTTGGGGGGAATGGGGAGCTAATCATGATGAGGACAAGCACTCAAGAGAATGCTCTAGAACCGACTGTGGTGATGATTGCATGCCTCCATGTGATTGAATTGTTGGATGGCTGATACGTGTGCCAATTGAGTCTATGCTGACTCGCAGCAACCCATTAGGGCAGGGCACATCTGCCCTTGTGTTTTTCGGGAGTAGAAGAAGCCCCGTCTTATTCTCCTGGAGCAGCTGGTGGTTTTGAACTGTGTAACTTGCTGACCCGCAGCCCAACACAGAACCACTGCACTACCCGGGCTCCTGATATAATGAGCAGTACTCTGGAATGCTTCTGTTGCCGGGAAGGCAGATTGAGTGATGAGAGAGAGATAGAGTTAGTTTCTGGGAGAGACAGCTGAGGGTTGGTAAAGCCTACAGGAGGGAAACATCCTCATCATTTGGGTTTCCTCCCCAGTAGACTGTGAGGGTAGGGCTTTAATGGAGGTGGTTTTGTTCGGGGGTGGTGGTGGTGGTGGGTGGTCCCGGAAAGGAGAGTGGGGATATGAGCAGGGAACCAATGAAAGCATTAGGAAGTCTGTGACCATTACATAATCTCCTGTCACCTTGAGAGAAGGGGTAGAATCTAGCCTATCAATCAGGTCACAGCCAATCATGCCTCTGTGTGGGCGTGGCCTTCTGAGGATTCTGGGAACTCCTGTCTTCCTCCCTGGAGGTGGGACACATCTGGAGCTATGCTGATGGCAGCCAGAACCCTGGAGATGCTTCCACCGCCATTGGATCAATAGGACTTTCCACCCACTGGCCTGTGAGTGAGGTAGTTAGTTTATTGTGCCAACCTGGTGGATAAACACAGGTGGGGTTAATTGAAGGGCAGAGGGATAAATAGCTCAGTGAGCCTCGCCTTTCTAGTTCTCGGGTCTCTTGCTTTGTGATGGTCAGACCAGGGTGCAGTTGCCTTAGTAAGTTCCTTGCTTTAGCTGGCAAGGCTCACTTCCTGCAAGACATCCCTGAGGAGAAGCCACATGGACCTACCCCGATGCAACCCTGGGTGCTGGAGCAGCTGTGTGGAGACCCCTGCCAGCGCTGAGATGCTTACACATTCACTGACTTGGCTTTCCTCCTGCATTCGACATCATAGTGCGTGTTTTGTGAGATGGAGGAGGACTTTGTGGATTGGTGTTGGACATGTGGGTTAATATTGGATTTGTGGGCTTGGGCAGCACTGGGTTGGGATGTTTTCTTGATGCGCACTTAACCTTTATATAAAACTCTCTCTTATGCATGAGTTTCTGTGGATTTGTTTCTCTAAAGTACCCAGACTAACACAGTGATCTTCCTACGTTTGACATCACTGCATGTGTTGTGTGAGTCTGAACTTACAGACTGGTCTCGGACATATGGGCTGTTATCGGACTTATGGACTTGATCTGGACTGGGATGTTTTCTTATTATCCAATTACTCTTTGATATAAAGTTCTGTCTTACACATATATGAGTGTCAATGAATTTGTTTCTCTAGTCTACCCAAACTAATACAAAGTCCATTCTATCCCTGGGGGCAATGGTGCTCAGACCTGCAGGGAACT